TATCATTGCATTCCAGCTTACCAGATTCCTATCAGAAAGCACATTGAATATTGAACTCATCCATCTGTAAGTTTCTCAACTGAATTTTACCAAACATATCCAAAGCTTTAGAAACTCGATTCCGATTCACAAATCCAATAATTATAGAGTTCCAAGGAGATGAATTCGGACATGGCATAATAGTCAAAATCCAAATAGCATCTTCCATCCTTCCACCTTGAGCAATTCCATTTATCAGGCAATTATAACAAATTGATATTGCAATTGAGCATAGGCAACATTAGATCATGATTCATGACGAATATGGGATTCTACTTGCGATGAAATTGTCTTATAATTGCAGAGATTAACTCTTGTCTTATGGTCTTCTCATAGGCAATATTTGATGCTCGTCGCCGCTCCCATCTGCAATAAGTATCCTTAACTGAAACTGAATCAAAAAAGAATTGAAATATGAATCTTGAGCCAACAATAATCCAAAACCAGAAACCCCAGCTCAAATCAAATCGAAAATGCATCTGAAAGCCAAACGAAATTCTGAACCAAACTCGAAACCGAAACTGAACTAAAAGTAACTCATGATTCGAAATGGAAACTCATTGAAACCGCCAAAAATTTCGGAACTGGAACACAATCTGAAACTTAGTTGAGCCGCAAACCATGAATTGAGTGGGTGAGCATCGTTAACGCGTTTGTGAAGAACCGCTCATCTGAGCAATTGCTCCACTTAGTCCAAATGTGATCATCCAAAGAGTCGTTAATGTAATCAACCTGACAAAACTAAGTTACTAATAATAAGTTGATGAAAATAATCAACAACAAAAAGCTTGATTCTTAATTATTGAACAAAAATTCTTAAACTCTTAAAGAACATGATAATTCAACAAACATCAAAAAACCAAAACACAAGTTGTAGATCAAGTTGGAAAATAACATTAGATAGCATATATTACCAGGAAAATAACATTAGTTATAGATCAATTTAGAACCACTTTGGAAGATGGTAAATGAAATCACCATGTGTGCATCTATAGATCAATTGCTACTGAAATCACCATGTCCTGTACTAAAATGTTATGAATGTCATTCCTAATGTAGTTATGGCACTTGCTACCCGCAAGATCATCAAATACTATAAGATACCTATAGATTATCATCAATTCATGTAATGATAGAAAGAATATAGTAGAATTTACCGAGACGTAGTTCCAAATTCGAGAAACAAAGGACCCATAATAAATCCAACACCTACACCAAAAAGGCCACCCAATATTCCAGCTAGCAATGAACAAGAAAGTGATAGAATTAGAAGGTTCACCCAATATTTTTTCTTTTCCTTTAGCACAGGACTTGTTTTATAGTCTCAAGTTCTTAATCCAGGACAACATCCTAATCCTCGTCAGCAACTTCTACCCAAAACCATTTAAAATCATGTTGCACCCCAACCTAACATGTCATTGAACGACTCTATCCTAGACTCCCAGCCAGAATATTAGCCAAAATTCTAACACACAACAACCGCAAAATTCCACGAGTTATTCTATTGGCCAGAACTCCAATATACAGTGTATGTTTCTTGGTTTTCAGAGACAAATTCCAGGTAGGCAACAAGTTGTTCCCCTCAGCAACAACAACAACCATAAAATCAACAGATTCTTTACCAGTAACAACAACAGGTTATGAAGCATAAGATGTCTCGGATGCAGCAACAACAACAACAACAAAACCTTCTGCAATCAATTTAGTGAATACCTCTTAACAATCTGTTATGCAAACATCATCTGCTATGCAGCCTTCAACGATGCAATCGTCTCTATCATCTAGCCTTCAGCAACAAACATTCCCAAATTATTAGGCAGCCACAACAACAACAAATATTAGCATATTTAGTGTTTCAAGTAATTTCTTAGTACTTCTTGAAAAGATCATTAAGCAAATAAAAAACTACACTGCAAACAGTTCGACACAGTCAATTTGATGATTCTGAACAAACCTTCTAATCATGCGAATAAAAAAATACACTGCAAATAGCCCGACACTACCTGCACCATTATGCAGACCTCCAAACCACAAAAAATCTAATAACAGTGCTGGTTAAAATTCAATCCAATTATAAAACTAAAACATATTGACTTTATATTATGAATTACTTCAAAAATAAAAAAAATTGTGTGGTAAAAGTACTTTATTTACTACCTTAAACTTATGTGGATGTAATGGTGCACAAACTATGGAATGATATAGTTTGAAAAAAGCATTAAAACTCACATACAACACACATGACAAACTATCTCATTATAAGGACTGTTAATATATAAAGTTTCAGCTCAGGTAAGAGCTAGTGGAATATAAAGTGGCATATCAATATGCATATATTAAGCCCTCATTAATTTTCACACTAAGCGCAGATTAAGCGCAGTTAACTGTCCAGAAATAACAGGTGCTGAGAAACACTACTTATTGCAATTATGTGCACAGTTTGACATTCCAAATATTGAATTTCATGAACAAAAAAAAGATTTAGATTTTATGAAATAGGAAATCACCTGTATAAATTGAAGCCTCACGAGCAGCCACTGACATGTTTGAAGTGTTAGCCACAAGTGTTGTACGCTTCATGACAGATTCTTCACGGCCATCAGGTAATGTCATTGTAAGTTGTGGAAAGTCCATAAAAACCTAAATAATCATTAAAATGATTTTACCAGACGAATACCAACAAGCACAAATATTTCATAGAAGAAATCACCCAAGAAACATGGGATTCTTGGCTCTTGAAGTCATCACCCAAGAAACATGAGATTCTTGGCTCTTGAAGTCATCACCCAAGAAGTCTTGATGTAATTAAAACAAATTAGTTCCGAATGATAATGGATGCAAGGAAATGAACCCAGTTTACATTTTAAAAAATCAAGCTCCTACTAAATTATAATTTCTTTATATCCTACATATTCGTTAAATCAATGCATGAAATTGAAATAACTGCAAATTTACCTCTCTTAAGACAGGAAACTAAAAATTCCTAGCAAGTTCCAATCCTCTGCAATCCTCGTAGAAATCAGAAAGGCTTCCTGCCTCGAAATGGTATTTTAGAACCACATAAATTAAAAATATAAAAGCCTAGCAGTTAACGATTAGAGAAACAAATTATCACACATTGTCCCGCGTGTTTATAGACTTCCAGGACTTTAATAGCTTCATGTCTTGGCATCTCAAAAAACAATAGAAAAATTCACTTACCAACATAAAACATCTTTTATTTCAATTTAATCTCATCACATAGATAAGGATCCGTTACTTATTGTTATAATCCAGCCCTAATTGAACTTAAAACCACACCAACAATATGATTATTGTACAAGTTTTCAAGTAGGCCGTCTCTTCTAGCAACAATGATATCTCCTTAAGCAACATGTATTGTAAAAACCTGCACACAAATTAATAGTCATCAAGAAGGTATGATGTCATATAATAATAATGGGCAGTTAGTTGATAACACATATCTACTCACATTTCCATCTTTTTATTTGGGTGGAAATGAAAATGTGAACCAAACCCTAACATTTCCTCCGCCACTGTCTCTCCGTTTTCGACCGTAGGGTTCGTCCTCTCTCACTGAAGCATATTGTTCATATTCCTTCGTTCAGTTCTCTAACTCCACTTTGATGCCGTTCGCATCTCTATCGTGTTTGGCATCTCCATTATCAAAATCATGGTAAGAACTCTGGTTCTTCAATTCCAAAATTGGGAAAAATATGACTCTTTTCATGTATGTTTTTCCTATTCTCTTCAAATGCTGAACCCAGTAGCAAAAGTAGAACCGTCATCACTTCAAACTGTAGCTATTTTCATTCTAAGTTTGAATTTTATTGGGTTGGAATTGAATTTGATCCTTGTTTTTCTATTAAGTGGCCAATGACGTTGTTTATTATTATATATATGCAATTGAATTTTGTTGAAAAATTGGAATTTGATTAGGTTCATTCTTTTAAGGTTGAAGAAGATTTCATCATTTCCTGCATCTCGGAGATCGGTATAATTTTCAGTGGTATAATTTACTTGGTTAATTGTTAATTATTTAATAAACTATTGTTTTATTTATTTTTAATATTATTAAGTTATGATAATTACGTGACATTTTATTTACAAGTTTGGTGAGATTGGATCTGGAAAACAACTGGTGAAATACCATCTTCCCTTGGTAATCTTAAAAAGCTTCAATTCTTGTAAGTACATGACGAGTCCTTGCAAGTTGCATGTACTATTTTGTGTAATGTTTAAGAATGTCTAATTTTGTTCCTGCAACTAGTATTTAATTTTGTGTAATTTTTTTTGTTCCTGCAATAAGAGAATATCAAAGCAGTTAGATTTCACTATTCTCTCTTTCTTCTCCTCTTTCTTAGTTTCTATTATGGTATATAAGCTAGATGGAATACTTGGTAATCTCTGACCTTTCTCTAAACAATAAGGGCTTCAAAATCCCAAGACAAACTTATGAGTTAATAAAACATTGCACAAACTTAAAGTAACTTTAAAGGCCTCATGATGAGGATTCTCTAGCCTGTTATGCCACACAGTGTATAACGAGGGAACAAACATTAAACTTGGTGGAGTTCCTTTTAGAGTAGGTACAATCTATGGTTGGAATTGGAAGACCCCTGTGTTGGTCTGTTTTCCACTGATTCCAATTAGATGTAGTGAATCTCTGCCGCTGATTCTGATTTGGATTATTCCATTATGCATGCATCATGTCACGTACGTAGGGTTATTTGTATCACTGCTATGGTTGTATTCAGTAAGATAACATAGAGGAATTACTGAATTGAATATATATATCTCTAGTTAAAGCAATGATGATGATGTATGGAAGAAAAAGAGTAATATTTAGAGAACGTGTTTTGCATATAAATTGGGTATCGGTAGCATTCACGTAGTAACAATTGTTTTGGTGCATTACTTTATTCAATTTGTTAGATGCATATTGTAGTTGAGGTGGTGTATTATATTATACATAATTTTGTTGAGTTTGTTTGGTGATTATAACTGATACGGGTGTTTAGTATAACGGCCAAACCACTGTTGTAACTTGTAAGCACATGATTAGGAAAACTAGGTAATATAATAGTGTAATCTTGAACATGGTCTTGAAACGTCGAGGACCACTCGTTAAGATAGTCATTGCAGAACTGTCCTGCACTGTCAAGATAATCTTCTTCTATGCTTAATTGAGAGGCTTCAAACAATGCAACTAAAACATTTATATCCTTACAAAACACATGCTTGAGTTTGCCTTTGTTGTCCCAGAAAATGTTGAATATGTCTGTAAAATGCATCAAAACAGTAATAAAAACGATAACATAAGTGCGATATTTAATTATGAGTTTAAACCAATATGTTATCTAACCAGCTGGTCGAATGTAATAACTTAGTTTAGATATCTAGCTCGGTTTTACAGAAATGAGTGTTAGGCTAACTTTGAAAATTTAAATTTTGTAGCCCCGTTCATTGTTCCTGATGTCCAAGATGTTTATACTCCTTTGCAAACTGATGTAATTGTTCCACTATCTGAGGTTAGAATTACTTAATAGTTTTAGATGAATAGTTCTAGATGATGGAGGAGAAAGAATCTTTGTTAAAAATCCTAATTCCTGCACGTTGTAGGCAGAGGAACAAACTTGTTCCTTAGACAATCAAATTTTGACATACATTTTAATTCTATGATTATAATATTTTATACTAAATAATAATGTAATATGTATTATGTGACAGCAAGAAATTTGATTTATATTTTGTATTTGGTTGATTCTTTTAGCTATTGCATTCTGTTTTAGGGGAGAATCTTATACCAAAGCCTCATAGTGACGTGACGCCTTTGTGCACTTTGGGTGGTATGTCAAACATGACAACTGACTTATATTTATTTTTTAACCTGGCTTATATTTATTTACTTTAAAAAATTAATTGGAGGTTGTTATCTTTTGAAAATATGTTGGAGTCACTTTAGTTGTTTTATACTTATTTATGCATCATATATAAAATTCGTATTTGGACTCCTTATGCGACACGCACACTCACTCTTCAACACTCCAATTCACAACACTCCCCAACCTAACAAGATACGAATTCCGATCAACCACCAGTTTCGGAACCTCATCACACATTACTCCTCCAATTCCCGCCATGTCTCCACATGCGGTATGTGTTCTTGAAATTTTGGAATGTTCTAATTTTATGCTTTCTTATTATTCATTGTAGTTCTAGAATTTTTAGTAATACTTTTATATATAAGTTGAAATTAACATTTCCAGCATTGATAAACTTGTAAGGTTCAGTTAGCTCTGGTTCAGTTTGGATGAGATTTCTAGCTTATAGAAGTTTCTAGCTTATAAAAAATGTTAGTGTTTGTATGACTTTGCAGTTGATGTCATCATATCTGAATGGATGGGTTACTTTCTTCTGCGAGAATCTATGTTCGATTCTGTTATATGTGCTCGTGACCGCTGACTTAAACCAACAGGAGTGATGTAAGTATTGTTTTCTTCTAAGATATTTCCAATGCAGTTTTTCTAACATTAATATTCATTTTGTGAATGAGTAAATCTTTGGTGGCTACTGGTGTTATGTTACAGTTGCAATGATTTAAAAATATTTATTTTCTAGGTATCCCAGTCATGCTCGCATGTGAATGGCGCCTATCAGGACTGGAATAGTAGAATAAAAATTGGATGATTACCAATCTGCTATGGGTGATTGCAGAGCAAATACTATCTACAGGCAAGTTTTAAACTTAGTACACTTTAAGTGTATTTGTTATGTTTCATTTAAATTAAATGAAATTTTGGTTATGGTTGGAGTTGTTGGCTCTACATCATATGCATCATGTGCTGGCTTGTAGAGACACAGGCTCGACATGCTTTACAGGACTGAACAATTCAAATCATCATGGGCGAATAGTAGGTGTAGGTAATTTGTGTCATAGTGGTTGGTGTTGTATGAGTAGAGCTTTGAACAAGAGTCAAACTCCTAGTATCTACATTTGTTATCATAAACTATATTTTAGGGAATAACTCACAGTAGAATATTTTACCCATATCCAATCCCACATAAGCAGAGACTCTATTATCTTCTCTAGTCTACAATGGGAGTTATCCCAGCTTTCTTGCAGAAGATTTCATTAATCCTTTTAAGTTATATGTTGCATATAAGACTAATTTATGCTTTCTATAATTTCTGTAGACATCATTGTGGAGCAATCTTCATCAACATCAAGTTATAGGAACTCTTGGTATAGTAAAGGAAATTGACTGTTTGACTGCCACAGTGGTGGACATAGAGAAAGTCAGATCAAAATTTTCTCTATCAATGACCATAGACAATACAAAATTGTGTGGACCAAGAAGGGTGGTTTGATGTGCATTTCCGGGTAAGATCCTCTAACCTGTAATGGCATTATATCTATCCAATCTAATATCATAAATCTTATTGTTTCATGTTTTTTCTTACCAACAGTAGCTCACATGGCAGCTAGGAAACAAGGAAAGATTGTGAATGTTGGCAGTGTTACTGGATTGGTTTTAAGTTCCCCTTCTTCAAACTTGTTTTAATTTTAAATATGTTCATGTCTGCATCATATTAACTAAAGGTAATTCAACTGGTTAAGAAATTGTTGTTTGTTGTATACAGGAAGGGAGACATGGTGTTAGTTAAAGAGTTACTATACCCTGTGATTGTGAATGAGAAAATTACCTGATATGTTTATTTTTTTTATAGGGAGAAAATTACTTTGAAATTGATATAGATATGCATAGGTTCAGCTATATCTCTAGGAAAGGATTTGAAGCATTCATGGACAGATTAAAGAACTGCACTCTAGATGTTGGCCTTACAATTCAGGCATGTAGTTTTCTCTTATGACAAAAACATTATATGAACTTTATCTTATGCTTCTACTAATTATTAACATATAATATTTGTTCATGTTCAAGGGAACAAAGTTGAGGAGCTGCCAGAGCAAGTGTTATGTTGTATAACATTGACCACTCAAATTACAAACAACTAGGACTAACTCAAGATCCACTATAATATTATAATGGAAAAAGCTTTTATATATATATATATATATATATATATTTCCATTATGGTGAATTGACTAGTTTTATATATATATATTTATTTATTTATTTATATTTAAATTTAAATTTACAGTTTTATATCAATTTTTTGAAAACACATCATTTAAAAAGTTCATAAAAAGACTAAATTAGTCTTGTTAGTGAATTGACTAGTGAAGTGGTAACTCAAGAAACCAGTTGATTCTGAGCGAAAAAGGAAAACGAAAGATCTCTCATCCCCTCAAGAACGAACCCTAGCTACGTACGCCAATATCTTCTCTAGGTTTTGTTTCAGTTCATCATCGTTTTCTTTAGTAAGTTCTTATCTTCTCTCTTTTTGGATCAGTTCATCATCGTTTTCTTTAGTAAGTTCTTGAATTCATACGTAACAGCTCAGAGCAAGACGAGGATTTGACAAATTCAATGTATTCTGCAATTAATATTGGGAATTCCCTACGTAACCTTTATGTGTTCATGAACTTATATTATGATCTGATGTTAATTTTTTTCTCTTAGCTCTGTTTATCTAACGAAATTCATTCTCAGCGTGGAAAGGAACTCTCTCTCTCTCTTCCCTCAAGAACTCCTGTTTCTTGTTTGTGGTTTTGATCATCATCATCTTCTTTCTCTGGCTGGGTAAGGACCTTTATTTTCTTTTTCTGTTTTGATTTGGAAATAAGATTTATTGTTTATTCTTCTTCACTTTCACCAAAATTCTGTAATGGTTTATACTAGAGTACCATATCTAGATCTTACCATTGCCATTCATACTTTCTGTTTCCAAGTCGGGACCCAAATACCATATCTAGATCTTACCATTGCCATTCATACTTTCTGTTTCCAAGTCGGGACCCAAATATTGGTTCCTCATTAAGATTGATTTTTTCGTGGTATCCAATTCAAATTAAATTTTATTTTGTACATTCTTGAATTCATAGAAAAGAAATTGACAAAGGCAAGAGAAATTTAAAAATACAATGGAGTCTGCTGTTAGTTCACATGTGAGTTCTTTTAGTTATTTTTTTTTAGTCCAATTATTTTCTTTGTTTGTTGTCTTTCTTTTTAAAGAAGAGTGTTGATTAAAAATTTTTTTTTGTATTTTGAATCTCAGGTTTCTGAGGAACAGATCAACATTTCTGATATGCCCATTTGGGCACAGGCAACTTTTAGGGATAGGACACAATTGAACAGTGTGCCGAGCAAGGTTTACAAAGTTTCACTTTTTAATCGGGATAACGTTTTGGTTCGTGTGCCAATTGAGCATTCAACACCTGAAGTAGCCCGTCTTACAATACTCGAGTGGATAAGCCGGCACAAATATACTCATGATGGTTCTAATGTTCCTTATAAAATTCTCTATTTTGCACGCACTGAAGCTTCTGTGGTAAATATTGTTCGTGATATATTGATCTGTTTTGAAGACTTTAACATCAAAGTTGGAGGTCACAGTGAAGATAGAGATATTATTGTAACGACTCCTCTAAAGTGGAATAGTAGGATATGGAAGAGCAATCATCCTCAAATGGAAATTGATCTCATCATTATTTATGAGATAAGGTTTTTTAATGATGTTGCTTATGGAAAATATCTCGAAAATATAATTTCAAGAGCATATATGCAGTCTAGCAATGACGTTCGTATGGTGGGGTTGTCGGCTTTTCCTATAGCTCTGGATATAGTACATTTTTTGAAAGTGGATCTAAATAAAGGATACTTTGATCACGAGGGAATAGTTGTACCTGGCCATATTGATGATTTGCTGAATGACCACAGCCAACACCTTTCTGTTTCCAAGCTGACAGATCAGCTGAATTCAGCAATTGCTATTGGTACGGTTCTAAATGCGAAGCAAGCATCACTTTGGCTTGGATGCACTTGCCTGTATACACGAATGGTGAAAAATCCTTCTGTATTTGGTTTAACAACCAACAACGTTAGATTGGAGGAGACCAGGGATGATTTGGTACATATCTCATTGCTCTAATCTATTTTTGTTTTTTATTACCTCAACTAGACTAAATTATTCCTTGCTGTTAGTGGTTGTTGTTAGCCTTGCTTTGATTTTTGCAGTATAGTTCCATTAGAAATGAACCATCTTTGAAACAACAAATTACTAGATTGTTGTTGTCATTATTTTGATTTATGTAGAGTTGTTTGAAAAGGGATGAAAATTAACTACTTTAGTTTTGGTACTGGTTCTAGGTTCTTTTTTAAAGTGTCTGAACTTGTGATTGGTATAATTTACTTAGGGCCGCATGAAAATAAAACCAAAATTTCACTAACATTTGTAAGATACAAGTTCTTTAACTTTTTATATAAGTTCAATTATTTTTTCCTTTGAATATTTATTGGATTTTTGTTGGTAATTCTTGTCATTAGGTTAATTTTATTTGCTAAATTCCTCTTTGATAGTGTCTATTCTTGATATTGTATAGTTAATATAGAATTTAATGAAAAGGGGATCAAATCATCGTGTAAAGATCTATTTATATTTTTCAGATTAATAGAGCAGCTGCCATATTAGAAAAAACTGGTTTGATCAAGTATGATAGGAAGAGTCGATATTTTGAAGTCACAAATATTGGTCGAATTGCAAGTTACTACTCGGTAGTATATGGAACAATTTCAAAGTATAACGAGCATTTGAAGCCTACAATTGGAGACAGTGAACTTTTTCACTTAATATCCAAAAGTGAAGAGTTTAAACGTATAACAGTCAGGCAAGATCAGAAGATTGAGATGGCAAAGTTTTTAAACCGCATTCCCATTCCAATTACCAATAATATAGAAGAACCTTTTGCTGCGAAGATTAATTTTTTGATCCAAGCATATATTTCACGCATAGAATTTGAGGATTTCACAACAACTTCTGAAATGAATTTTATAATTCAGGTATTTTTCCTGTACTTTGACTTATAATTCTGTTTCCTATATATTTTGTTTTTCTTTTTTAGAGGGCTGAAAGCCTTTTCCGAGCACTTTTTGAGATTGTTTTGAACCGTGGTTGGGCTCAATTGACTGAGAAAGCTTTGAACTTGTGTAAGGCAGTGACCAAGAGGGTATGGAATGTCTAAACTCCTCTTCGACCTCTTCGTCAGTTTGAAGAACTTCCAGATTATGTATTTACCTATCAGGAAAAGAAAGATTTGGCTTGGGAAAGTTACTATAAACTTTCAATTTCCAAAGCTGAGGCTTGCTGCACATGTGCATCCCATCACTCACTCAAATTTGGGGGGTTAAGCTCACAATAACTCCTGCATTTGAATGGGATGATGAAAAGCATGGTCTTGTTCAAGAGTTTTGGGTATTTTTGAAGGACAATGCTAATGTTAGTGAATATATCCTCCATCATGAGTATTTTAGACTGTTTAAACAGTACATTAAAGAGGACCACACATTAAATTTCACAGTGCCATTACACAAACCTCTTCCTTCTGAATATTTAATATGTGTTGTATCTGATAAGTGGGTTGGATCCCAAACTGTTTTGCTTCTTTCTTTGAGACATTTAATTTTATCGGAAAGGTACTCTCTGCCTACTAAACTGTCGGATTTGAAACAGCTGCCGGTTACTGCGTTGGGAAACCAATCACAAGAAGCTCTTTATCTGGTTCTCAAACACTTCAATCCAGTACAAACACAGGTTTTTGAAGTTATGTATAAGTCAGATGAAAATGTTTTAGTAGCTGCTCCAACTGGGAGTGGAAAGGCTACATGCGCAGAACTGACAATTTTGAGGAATCATCAAAAGTTGCCTCATAATGTGATGTGGGTTGTGTATGTTGCACCTATTGATGCTCTTGCCAAAGAACGGTATCGTGATTGGGAGAAGAAATTTGGGGGTGGTCTGAAGTTGAAGGTAGTGGAGTTAATCGGAGAAATTGTCACTGATTTGAAACTGTTTGAGAAAGGTCAGCTTATTATCAGTACTGTTTAAAAATGGAATGCTTTATCCCTCCACTGGAGAGAGAGAGAGGGAACATGTTGGACAGGTTAGTCTATTCATAGTAGACCATCTCCATTTAATTGGAGGTCAAGAAGGTCACACTTTGGAGGTTATGGTTTCAAGAATGAGACACATTGATACCGAGGTTTAGAATAAAATTCGCATGGTTGCTTTGTCGAATACACTTGCAAGTGCAAAGGATCTTGGAGAATGGATTGGAGCTCCCTCTCAGGGCCTTTTCAATTTCGCTCCTGTTGTTCATCCTCTGGATGTTGAAGGTATCCTAAATATCATAAATTTTGAGGCTAGGATGCGGGTAATGACCATACTAACTTATACTTCTATTGCTCAACATGCCAAGGATGGAAAGCCGGTGATTGTATTCGTACCCACAAGAGAGCACATCCGACAAACAACAACTGATCTAATTGCATACTCAGGTGTAGACAAAGGTGAGAAGCCATTTTTACAACGATCCTTGGAAGATCTCAATCTTTTTATTAACAAGACTAGTGATGCTATATTAAAAGCCACTTTATGCGAAGGTGTTGGCTTCTTGCACGAGGGATTGGATCGTCTTGATCATGACATTGTGAGACAGTTATTTGAAACCGGTTGGATTCAGGTATGCATTCTAAGCAGATCCATGTGTTGGAGAGTGAAATTATCAACTCATGTAGTAGTTGTGATGGGTTATGACGGGCTAGCGAATTCACATCTTTATTACCTTCTTACCGATTTTTTGCAAATGATGGGTCAAGCCCATGCTAGTTGTCCTTCGATGGACAATTATTCAAAATGCATAATTTTGTGCCATGAATCTCAGAAAGAGTATTACACAACGTTTTTATCAGGACCATTCCCTCACGAAAGTGTGCTTCAACATTCTCTACATGATCCGCTGCACGTATTAACAATATGCAAGATGCTGTGGATTATCTTGCAGAGTCCTTCATGTTCCAACGCCTCACCAACAACCCTAGCTATTATGGTTTACAAGGAACCTTGGATACATCCATTTTCCTCTCAGAGTTGGTAGAAAGTTCAATCTTTGACTTGAAGAAAAAGGGGTGTGTTAGAGTTGCAAGTAATGGTGTAATAAATTTTACTGGTCATGGGAAAATTGCTTCCGATTGTTTCATTAATTCGAAGACCATGGACATGTTGCTGTCATGTTTGAGGAGAACAACTAAACTAAGGGGGTATGTTGGAGATGTTGTCTAAGTCAACTGAGTTTGCTGAATTGCCAATTAGACTAGGGAAAGAGGGAGAGGACATTGATGGGTTGTTTATTCCTACCGTAGGCAAATGCTTTGCTGCAAACTCATTTTTCAAGGAATATTCTCTGTCCAAGTCTTGCCATGGATCAGGAGTACATTTTAGTGTGTGCACAACGATTGCTTCATGCACTGATTCTAACTTCTACCCTATTATGTAGTTCAGACATACGTTCGATTGCAATCTTACTTCACCAAAAGATAATCCAAGCGTTACTCGAATATGCTTCTGTTTTATTTCAAGTTTTCCATTTTACGAGTGAGATGGTTTCTAAATTTCAATAAAGAAACCTCTTTTTTGATGATTTATCAAAAGTCATGGAGAATCGGGAAATTGTTGAAGCATTAAGAATTTCTGAATCGCAATTACATAATATTGATGAGTTTTTCGATTACATCTTTCCTGAATTTTCATACGAGGTAAGAAGATCTAACCAGAAGATGAAATATCACCCGTGCTTCTCAAAATTTATGGGAAATAAAGACAGAGAAATCGTTCACGCCCCATTTTCCCCCTGAAACACGTAGAGAAATGGTGGATTCATCTTAGAGAAGCTTTAAATCCTTCTTGGACGGAATGCAAACTGGGGAGGAGAAGTGTATTCATGAGGCTAACGGTTGTCGAATTTTTCTGGGACATACAAACTAACATAGTTGTACGTCCCAGAAAAAGTCCGACAATATCACAAGAAGGATTTAAAGCTTCTCTGAGATGAATCCATTATTTCTCTTTGTATTTCAGGGGAAAAAATGGGGCGTCAACGATTTCTGTCTTTATTTTCAGTAAATTTGACCAGCACCGTGATATTTTTATCTTCTTGTTGGATCTATTTACCTCGTATGAAAATTCAGGAAAGATGCAATAGTAATCGAAAAACTCATCAATATCATGTAACTGCGATTCAAAAATTCTCAACGCTTCAACAATTTCCCGATTCTCCATGACTTTTGTTAAATCATAAAAAAAAGTTTCTTTTATGACATTTAGAAAACTTGAAGTAAAACAGAGTTATCTTCGGGTAGCGCTTGGATTGTCATTTGGTGAAGTAAGATTGCAATCGAACGTATTTATGTACTACGTAATATGGTAGAAGTTAGAATCAGTGGAACAATCGTTGTGCAAATACTAAAATGTACTCCTGATCTATGACAAGACTTGGACATCAATCGTTGTGCAGACACTAAAATGTACTCCTGATCTATGGCAAGACTTGGACAACGCTTCAACAATTTCCCGATTCTCCACGACTTTTGTTAAATCATAAAAACAAATGTTTCTTTTATGACATTTAGAAAACTTGAAGTAAAACAGAGGTATCTTTGGGTAGCACTTAGATTGTCATTTGGTGAAGTAAGATTGCAATCGAACGTATTTCTGTACTACGTAATATGGTAGAAGTTAGAATCAGTGGAGCAATCGTTGTGCAGACACTAAAATGTACTCCTGATCTATGGCAAGACTTGGACATCAATCGTTGTGCAGACACAAAAATGTACTCCTGATCCATGGCAAGACTTGGACAGAGAATATTCCTTAAGAAATGAGTTTACAACAAAGCATTTGCCTTATGATGGGATGCTTATTAGTATGAACTCTCAAATACAAAGATTTTTCTGCAGATACTTATTAGTATGAACTCTCAAATACAAAGATTTTTCTGCAGGCGGATATTAGTATGAACTCTCAAATACAACAACACGTTCTTATTTTTAATCTGCTTATTGTGATGTTGCTGTGAGTTATGCAACATCAGTAGGTAAATGGCAAGTGAAAGCTTTGGCAGGAAGCAGTGATTTTGGTGGAGAGAACATAATTGAAAATACCATAGCTTATCTCGTACCAAATGTGGAAAACATGTTAAAAAAGTTGGGAAGAAAAAAAGAACTCAGAACAATTAGTTTGCTCAGGTAGCAACCCTCCAGGCAATTGAAGGACTTAATGATGGCACAGTTAATTTTTTTTTGTCGATCTGGGAAACCAGAAGATAAAGGATTTTTGGAAAGTCAACAACGCCTGGAAATGTGAAAGCGAACAGTATAAATAATGTTCGCTTTCACCTTTCCAGACGTCGTTGTTGACTTTCCAAAAATCTTTTATCTTCTGATTTCCTAGATCTACAGAAAAAAATTAACCGTGTCTTCGTTAAGTCCTTCAATTGCCTGAAGGGTTGCTACCTGAGCAAATTAATTGTTCTGTGTTCTTTTTTTCTTCCCAACTTTTTTAACATGTCTTCCACATTTGGTACGAGATAAGTTATGGTATTTTCAATTATGTTTTTTCCACCAAAATCACTGCTTCCTGCCAAAGCTTTCACTTGCCATTTACCTGCTGATGTTGCATAACTCACAGCAACATCACAATAAGCAGATTAAAAATGAGAACGTGTTTTTGTATTTGAGAGTTCATACTAATATTCGCCTGCAGAAAAATCTTTGTATTTGAGAGTTCATACTAATAAGCATCATGTCATAAGGCAAATGCTTTGCTGCAAACTCATTTCTTAAGGAATATTCTCTGTCCAAATCTTGCCATGGATCAGGAGTACATTTTAGTGTCTGCATAACGATTAATGTCCAAGTCTTGCCATAGATCAGGAGTACATTTTAGTGTCTGCATATCGATTGCTCCACTGATTCTAACTTCTACCATATTACGTAGTACAGAAATACGTTCGATTGCAATCTTACTTCACCAAATGACAATCCAAGCGCTACCCAAAGATACCTTTGTTTTACTTCAAGTTTTCTAAATGTCATAAAAGAAACATTTTTTTTATGATTTAACAAAAGTCATGGACAATCGGGAAATTGTTGAAGCGTTGAAAATTTTTGAATCGCAGTTACATGATAT